AGCTCAAGTTCCAGTGGAGTCAAGACAGATTATAATAATATGAAGCAGGCATCAAGACCAACAGCACAGACCACGGTACCTACTGAGTGTTGGGAGCAAATTCTGAGAGTGTGCGACAAAGAGTTCATTGAAGCAAAGTGGCATGAAACTGAGGTTTGACTGATTTGGAACAGGGCCAGAGCCCAGGTCAAGGGCATAGTGGTGGGAAACCACATGCAGTTCCCATCAGTTGATAGGAGAGGGGTAGTACTCCTATCTTGGCCACGGGCCTCTTTCATGGCCACCCTGCTTCACCCTGTGCACATGGTTCCCCTGCTCTTTCTGCTTATGGGCTTATTGGGCCTGTTCTGGACTGAGGCTGGAGCATGGTCATGAGGGCGGCCCCCTCTCCTTTTCTCCTGTCCTCACACACTTATCAGTACAGTCTTCACGGCTCTCTCTCTGGTGTCCAGGTCCTGAGAGCAATGCCCATCAACTCACCTCACCTTCTGGGACCAACTCTTACAAGTTGCTGAACTCCAGCCCCCGCTGACCCTTCAGGTCCCAGTGAGGATGTCACATCCTCTGACAAACCTGCCCTGTCACAGGCTGCTAGACCAGGTGGGTGCCTCTCTGTGCTCCCACAGCCCCACCCAGACTTACACACCACCCAATAACTGCCTGTTCACTTGTCTGTCTTCCCAGCAGAAGCTCCTGGGCCAGGGTTGTGTCTCATGGATTATTATTTTCTCAGCATCTAGCTCTTTAAATAAATAAACATGGGTTCAATGGGTTTGGATTAACCCTATATTAAAATAATACCTACAAATATGGAAATACATTAAGTCTGTACTTTTTGCTCTTGCTGAAGCCACCATACAAATTTCTACATTTCTATAAAAGCATCTGCTATGCTTCTAGTTGTTGAGGCATCTAGCTGAGGGCACATGTTGAAGGTCTGCTTATTTTGAATAGTAACTATCTGAAATGAACCAGTGAGAAATGAATGAGAATGTAGTCCCCTTTACAGGCTACAGAAGTATCAATATATATGAACACAGCACAATGTATAAACCTCTTGAATCACTAGGTTGTACACCTGGAACTAATATAACATTATATGTCAACTATATTTAAATCAAAAAAGTAACAATAAAGAGATATCAATATATAAAAAAAAGCTATGTGAGATTCTTTCTTACTTTGTATTGAACAACAACACAGTTTAAATCAGGGTTTTTCTCACCCTGAATAAATCTAGAGTGGATTTGAAATGCCATTAAGACTCAGTGAATTTTCTAATACAGTATTAATACAGTTATCTTATTAACAGAGTAAATTTAATAAAGTAAATTTCTACGTCTAAGACTGCTAACAAAATCTAAAGCACATACCTGCAAAAAAGCAAATGTGACATTCTGCAAAACACATACTTGGTTCATTTCTTACCTCTAGTCTAGTTCTGCTCTATAAAGCATTTAACATATTTATTTTAAACCAATAAATTTTCTTTGTCATTTCATTCTCTCAGTTTCATTCAATAAACATGTACAGATTGCATACTATATGCACCAGGCACATGTTTCCGGACTTCCAGACAAGAGTCTTGTTTATCTGTTAACAAACACATTAGCAATCATATTAACAATGCCGTAAGTGGGTAGAATGCTTTGTGGCTCATGAACACTTTCATATAAGAATCATCTGCTACCAACAAAACCCCTTTAATCTTACAGTGGAGGAATAGCATAGAGTGGTTGTTATGACTCCCTCAAGGTCACTCCAAGTACACAGTCGACTCCCACGTGAGAGTAGGTTGTCTGGCTCCAAACCCAATTCTCTGCTACAACACATGGCCTCTCATTTCAGCTCCTTTATTAATGTGGAGAATGGACAGGGGAATATGTTGTGTCAAATATTGCTTTCATGGAAGCACTGTGCCTGAGATCCAGACTGTTTAGCAGTGCAGCCCAGGTGAACTTGAGTTTCTATGTGACTATATCAGAGCTGACACAAGCTTACAATGAGTGTACCATTTCTTCTAACAGCTCAGTTAATAGATGACTGCTGAAAATTTGTTAGAGCATCACACAGCCAGAAATAAAATTGTAAATTAAAAGCTTTACATAATGTTCACTGGAGCCTAGCAATTTTGTCATTATAAAAATTATTTTTGTCATTATGTCCTAATTTATGAAGAAAAGGATTTTCTCTTAACTTAATCAGTTTTTCAGCAACTGAGAATTTAATGGAAATATTAACATGTAGGCTTATGTAGTTTCCTCCATGAAGTAAAAGCCCAGCAGTTAGACTGGAACAGTATTTCTCCAACTGTAGGGCCATTATCCAAAGGCAAGTTTTGTCAGCTCCACAGCAACCTCCCCAGACACCACTCCCAGAGACAACACAGATCGATAAGCTCTCTCTCCTCTTCACCCTACTTCATACTGTATCTTTTCATTCCCAGGTATGAGATTTAAAAAAAAAAAGCAAATACTTCACCCAACCCTGGTGTCATTTGAGTTTTGGAAACCAAACTAGCAAACTAGATGATCTCTTCTAAACCCATCAATCTATTAGTCTATGAAAAAAAGCACTAACTATATGAATATCAAACAGTACTCACACCTCAGAGGATGTTATCACTGTGGATCCCAAAAGGGTGACCCCCAGAAATCCCAGAAACAGTTGGACACCTTGTTATATATGCCTTGGATGCCTTGTTGAGCAGATTCCTGGGCCCAAACCCAGACGTACTAAATCAGAATTTCTGGAATGAGACTTAGAAATATGTATTTCTAACACACTTCCTTGGATGATTCTGATGTTCACCCCCATTTGGGAACCTGGGAACATTCTAGAAATGAAAGTTCTCAGGTCCTGCCCCAGACCTACTAAATCAGAGACTCTTAGGATGGGGCCACAGAAATCTGTGTTTTGTTTTGTTAATGTTTATTTATTTTTAAGAGGGGGGAGGGGCAGAGAGAGAGAGAGAGAGAGAGAGAGAGAGAGAGAGAATGCAAAGCAGGCTCTGTGCTGTCAGTGCAGAGCCTGATGCAGGGCTTGCACTCATAAACTGTGAGATCATGACCTGAGCTGAAATCAAAAGTTGGATGCTTAACCAACTAAGCCAACCATATATCCCAGAAATCTGTGTTCTGTCACGTCCTCCAGATGGTTTTGATACACGGTGGAGTTTGAGAACCACGGATTTCAACAAGAGAGAGAATAGTTAAATTTCAATTAAAAAAAACCATATATTGAGACCCTCCTGAGTAAAGTCCCTGGGTTAGCTGCTTCAGGGAAAAAAGAGCAGCTCACTTTGTACTACATCATTTTTTAAACGCATATTTTTTCAAACTTCTATGGAGAATTTACTCTGTGCTAAGCGCTGTGTTAGTGGTTTCTTAGGATAAAGGTATTAGAAAGATATGGTTCCTGGGCTCAAGAAGCTTATAATCTACTAAGATAAACTTTTTCTGTCAAGGGCCAGAGATTAAGTGTTTTAGGCATTGTGGGTCACATGCTTCTGTGTAACTACTGGGTTCTGTTACTATAAAAGCAGCCAGAGATAATATGTAAATGAATGCAGTTGGCTACATTCCAACAAAACTTCATTTCTAGATACTAGCACTTGAATGTCATATAGTTTTCACATGTCATGAAATATCATTCATCTTTAGAGTTTTTTTCCAACCATTTAAAAAATGTAAAAACAATTTTGGGGGCCTTACAAAAATCAGTGGGAGCCAGAATTGTCTTATGGGTGGTGGTTCACTCTAAAGTAAAGCCTGTAAGGCAGTAACAAATAAAATCTGAGGGTTTGAGTCTCTGTGATATTGATAGAAATTGAAAAGTCAGGAGAAAGAGAAGGAACAATGATGAATCCTGTCTTAAATAGTCTTTTCTGTCATTTCATATCCTATTGTTTTCCTAAAAAGTATCACATGCTTTTTCTTACATTTCTCTATAGCAGAAATATATCTGTCACTTAAGTAAATCCATTTAATCTTCTCAGGAAAATAATATGATGCTAATAAGGATTCTTTATGTCTTTCCCTACGGGTCCAATTTTATCCATTTATGTGGATATGGAAGCCAAGATGTTAAACATTATAAAGGCAGAACATCTTTGATGAAGCATACAATGTATCACTTCTTCTCTCTTTCAAGTACTAGGAGGTGGAGATTGGCTACCATTTACACAACATTTAGTCTGCCTTGAAAACTGCCAGCTTATGTTGTCTACTGCAGGCTCCAATTTTTTGGAGAATCATAATTAACTTGGGCTTTTTGTTAGTTTGTTTACAATCTCAGATTGTATAGTTAAGTGCTAATTACCCAGTTTCTAAAGATTAATATTCACAGAAATATAATGCCACTACTCTGACAGAACAAGTTACATGCAAATCTATGATATCAGTTCCCAAATTTGAATCCACTGATCAGAATCTCATGGGCACAGCAGCCAGAACTGGTACTTTTAACATGTTCTCCTGGTGTCCTTGATGCCCAGCCAAGGGCTGGGAGAACCACTCTCTACCCTACAGTGGCCAGAAAGTGGAAGAGAACAAGCTGAGTGGCTCTGGCCAGGACAAGCTACTAGATGGTCATACTTGGGAAGTGTCATAGCACCATTTTGCTGGCTCCTGGAGGAAACACCTTCATTTTCAGGTGGATCTTAAATTCTAAGTTATTTATCACAACAAAAGTATAAATAAAGCCCAAACCTCCCACCACTGAGAGTAAGCCGAACAAAACATGAGTTGGCAGATTCAGAGAACACCCAAACCAGAGATAAACAAAGGTTGCCGAGTGCACAGTGTCTGTTCCACCTAGTCTTCACACCTGGCCATCCCATCCACTAATCAAGTTTCTTCCATCTCATAAAGTCAAACCAGGAACACCAGAGCTTGTTCCCGAAAATCACTACAGCCTTCAACCCCATCCTCCATTATTGTCCATTCACACACACCATGGTTCTCATCTTTTGAGTTCAGGGTTACTGACCCTATACTTACTCTCAGTAGTTGGCTGGCACCTCCTTCCACTGTCAAGAGTCCCCAAATCAACATCCTGGTTTTTTTTTTCCTCGGTCTTGTTGTATTGCTTTTGTCTCTACTTACTTCCTTTGTTTTTGGTGAAAACTTCTGTTCTAGCGCTTGCTCTATAGAAATTCCTGCTGGGATAAGAGAGAAGATACAGGATAAGAGAGATACAGGACTTTGGACATATGAGAGCTAAACCTTTCTTAATTAGGAAAAAAAAGTGACTAGCTAACTGTTGAAGAACAACATGCATGATATAGAGAAATCTTCTCTATATAGAGTTTACATCTTCTTTTAGATGAAACTATGCTTAAATTAACTAGAAAGTCCCACTTCTCATTCCACTGCATCAGTTCAGAAACTCTCAAGGAAGCCTATGACTGTACAGGCTTCTGTAGATACTAAACTTTAAGATTAAAAAACTGGACAAGGAACGAGACATGGAATTTTAAGTTCCTATCAAAACTCTGATGCAGCAGCAGGGACTATCAGGTGGATGCTGCTCCTTCAGAGGGTACCTCGACAAGTGTCCCTCCTGTCTCACTGCTAAGTGCATCACAGGCATCAGCAGTCCTTCTTCCCATCAGGGACAGAGGATTTAGTTGGGGGCCAGGTCAGCTAAATTATTTCAATCAGCCAAGGCCAATAAATATGCTAAGAAATTTTGATGTCTGAGGGGAATAAGTTTAGGAATTCCCTGGGCTTGCACCTATGGATTAACAAGTATAAGGAATTAGAAAGCCATAGGATGCTCACACCCAAGTTTGAGTAAACAAGATTAGGTACATAGGCACAGAGAGGGTGGGGCAAAGGCCCCAATATAGAACAAAAGTCTGTGAGGTAAATAAGATTAGGTATTCAGGGAGGAAACGCCCCCCAATTTAGTACTATAGCAGGAAGCTGCTTTTACAGGAAGGAAGGACCAAATTAGGTAAACAGGTAAATAGGGCTATAGACCACTGCCAGCAAAATTGCCCGGAGCCAAGCTAATTAGCAAAAGAAAGGTGCCTTGTTGACCCTGAGATAGCTCTGCCTTTCTAGACCAGTTTAGGTAAACAGAGGTGGTGCCTCCCATCTGCTATAAACAACTTTCCTCCAGAGCCAGGATTTTGTTTTGTTTTAACCCAAATCCCTGAAACGGCATGTTTTCAAAACCCCCTTTCCCTCATGCCCATGAGTTAATGTTCACAGTTTCATTGTCTCTTTGTGCACGTCCATCACCATGTTTGTAAGTCTTCTGATCCTAATAAAAATGGAGCAAGGACCCTTCATAGGGGCTCTTGCCTTCTCCTGGACATTAGCCATCTCTCACATTTTAATCCTGTGTCCCACTTTCTGCTTGACAAGAAAGAACTCTAGACCCAGAGTCTATGACAGATGGCATAAAAAGTATGTCATCGGTGCCACTTTCACCCCCAGGAATATAAGAAAAGCTGAGCAGGAGGTAGGTTTGTCGATTAGCACACCCTCCCACCTAACTTAGTGATAAAATTTCTGCAAATAAGTGGCTGCTCCTCTTGACCTTAAGACCTACATCCCTTTATAGTCTAGGCTCACCCTGAACCGTATCACCATATCACCTGTGGCTCACCCTTCTCTTGACCTACTCGATCTACACTTATGCAGCATGCGCAGATACTTCATGCTGCAAAATCACCAGGCAGGGCACCCACTCACTTAGGGATCAGATCCTGGCTGTGCTTCAAAAAGAAAGCACCATGGGGGTATAGCTCAGTGGTAGAGCATTTGACTGCAAAAAGAAAGCACCATGACTGAAATAATTCGCAATCTAGTACCAATAACTACTATGTTTAAACAATTAGGGAGTGAAAGTTCATTGCCAGTTTTAGGTCAGGAAAACCTTTTTCCAAAAGAGGTTAACACTTAAATTGGACCTTTATGAAATGTATGGGCAGGAATCAGAGTGGAATACTTATGAATTAAGTAAACAAAGTAGATCTGTGTGTCTGTCCCAAAATTCTGAGATGTCATGTTTGAGTAGTTAATGACAGTAGCATTGCTCAATATGCCTGAGAACCTTTACTGATAAACAGGAGGGAAGAAAGAAATGCTTAAAAAGAAGCAAAGTGAGCTCAGTAAAACTTATCTAATGTTAGGTTGTGTTCACCAAGTCCTGCTTCGTAATGCTTTTCCTGGGTACACAAAAAAACTGCCTTCCCAGCTTTAGTTAGAGCCATGTGACTAGTTCTGGCCAATCATGTGTGTAATGTGTCTCTTTCTGGCTACAATACCTAAGGGCTGGTGGGGCTGAGTGATTATTTGATAATATTAAGAAATTGTGTCATCTTTTAGATGTGAAAATGGTATTTTGATGATGCTTTTAGAAAGAATCCATGTCTTTTAAAGGTACATACTTAAACATTTATAGAGGAAATTTCTGGGATCATTTTCAAAATCGTCCAGTAAGAGTAGGTATGGTGAGTAGGGATACAATTGAAGCAAAACTGAACTGATGATTGTTTACATAACTGAAATCTATTAACACAAATTTTTAAAAGATCAACTAGTTTGACACCCTCTCCCTTTACCTTCCTATAAAAGTGATCCAAAAACCACCTATTCCAGAAGTAAAGCTTTAGGATAATACTATAGGGTGGAATCCCAGGTCATTGCATAGAGGAGAGTTGCCTTGATAACCCAAAGCAGACCTTTTGTGAACAAGATGGAAATCTTTATGTGGTAAGCCACTGGTATTTTGTGGTTACTTGATACTTCAGTGTAAGTGTGTAGCCTAGCCTAACCTAAATAATAATAGGAAGATTTGATTTTGAATATGGGGTAGCCTGTAATAGCCTATATGGTATGGAGCTAGCGAAAGAGGTAACTTATAGGATAGCTGACTGGATAAGAAACTAGCATGAATTTGAGAAGGAGCACAGAGAGGAAACTGAGGGTAAGAAGGAAAGGTCAGGCAACACAGTACAGGCAAGGGATTTTCAGGAAAAAAAAAAAAAAATCAACCAACAAGAAGTCACCTGTGGCAAGGGTGGCTAAAGTACTTTTTTTTTTAATTTTTTTAATGTTTATTTTATTCATTTCTGAGACAGAGACAGAGCATGAGTGGGGGAGGGGCAGAGAGAGAGGGAGACACAGAATCAGAAGAAGGTTCCAGGGTCTGAGCTGTCAGCACAGAGCTCAACGCGGGGCTCGAGCTCATGGACCGTGAGATCATGACCTGAGCCAAAGTCAGTCGTTCAACCGACTGAGCCACCCAGGTGCCCCAAGAACTTTTTCAAAAATGGCAACATCTAACAGATTGGATAATCTAAAATAAATGAATAAGTTCCTAAAAACATAAAACTAACCAAGACTGAATCATGAATAGAAAATGTGGAAAAATCAAATAATGGGTAAGGGGACTCAGTACTCAAAAGTCTCCCAACAAAAAAAAAAAGCCCAGGACCAAATGACTTTATGATGAAGTCTATCAAATGTTTAAATAAGTAATACCAATCCTTCTTAAACTCTTCCAAAAAATGAAGAGAACACTCCCAAATTCATTTTACAAGGCCAGCATTATCCTGATATCAATAAGGATACTACAAGAAAACTACCAATATCCCTAAAGAACACAGGTTTTACAAATCCACAACAAAATACTAGCAAACTGAATTCAACAGCAAACTGAAAGGACTCAAGGATGCAAGGATGAGTTGACACACAAATATTAGTAAGAGTGATACTCTAGCAAACAGAATGAAGGGTAAAATTCAGATGACCATTTTAATAGATAATAGAAAAAGCATTTGACGAAACTCAGCATCCTTTTATGATAAAACTGTCAACAAATTAGATATGGAAGGAATTTACCTCAACATAATAAAGGCCATATATGACAAACCCACAGCTAATATCTTCCAGCAATCCCACTTCTGGTTATACATCTGAGGGAAATGAAATCACTATGTCAAAGAGATATCTGCACTCCCATGTTAATTACAACATTATTCACAACAGCTGACACATGGAAACAACCTAAGTGTCCATCAAAGGCTGAATGGATAAAAAGATGTATATGTATAGATACACGGATAGACAGATATAGATACAGATGATATGTAGATATATACAATGGAATATTATTCATTCATTAAAAAAAGAAGGAAATTGTGCTATGTGCACAATGAAGGACATTATGCTAAGGAAAATAAGCCAGACAAAGAAGACAAATACTGTATGATCTAACTTACACGTGGAATTAAAAAAAAAAAAAAAAGTCAAACTTACAGAAACAGAGTAGAATAGGGGTTACTAGAGGTTATCAGGAACTGGACAATGGGTAAAATGAAAAGATGCTGGTCAAAGGGTACACACTTTCAGTTCTTCTTTTTTTTTTTTTTTTTTTTTGAGAGAGAGATAGAGCATGAGTGGAGGAGGGGCAGAGAAAGAGGGAGACAGAGGATCCAAAGCAGGCTCTGTGCTGATAGGAGAGAGCCCGATGTGGGGCTTAAAATCACGAATCATGAGATCATGGCCTCAGCTGAAGTCAGACACTTAACCGACTGAGCTACCCAGGCACCCCCAAACTTTCAGTTCTAAGATAAATAAGTTCTGGTGATCTAATAATATATAGCTTAGTGACTGTAGTGAATACTATTGAATTTGCTAAGAGCATAGATCTTAAGTGTTTGGACCACAAAAAAATAACTATGTGAGGTGATGGATGTGTTAATTTGCTTGACTGTGGTAATCATTCACAATGTATATATGTATATCAAATAATCACGCTGTACACTTTAAATACATATAAATTTTTGGTTAATTATATCTCAATGAAGCTGGAAAAAACCACTTACTGTAGGTCTATTCTAGATTCAACACCATACAACCTGCTGGAGACATAAAGGAAGGCATGGTCTCAGCCCTCAAGGACTTCACATCAAAGGGAAGAAGAATCACTAGCAAATAATATCTAGTGCAATAAAAGAAAAGAAAGTACAGAGTCTTAGGACATCAGACATAACAAACATTGGGGATAAGAAAGTTCAGGCAAGAAGTCCTAGAAGCCATATAGAAGCAATAGCAGCCAAGGATAAAGGAAAGAGCATTCCAGGAAAAGGAAGAAGCTTGTGATAAAGCTCTGAGACAAACAGAACTTGGTATATTTGAG